TCTGAATACACACGTTGAACCTTATATTATATTATTATTATCTACATATATATAAAAATAAGTCGGGTTTTCCTTCCTAACGATATAACTCCAGAACGCACGAACCGATTTCGTTGGAAATTTTTCATTCGTTTGAAAGGTCTCGCAATGTTTATAGCTAAGAACATTAGTGGTGCATGGCATCGTGCCTTAATGTAAATTGCTGGAACTTTACGCACCGTAATTAAAAATTCGAATAATGACATTAGTGAGAATTATAAGAATTATGCTTGGTTAAGTCAACGAACAATTCTTTCCGCAAAGAATAATGATGTACACGCACTGAATTTCACCATTCAATAAAAAATTGCTGGCGATTTGGTGACATACCAATGATTCCGACTGGTCTTTTGTTTGACTTCAAACGATTGCAATTTCCAGTTCGCCTTGCGTTCGCAATAACAAGTCGCAAGGCCAACCGCTTAGTGTTTGCGAGCTAAATTTCAAATAGATTATTTAGAAAATCATTGTTTTTCACATGGGCAGTTATACATTTCCTATTCACGAGTTGGAAAACCATCCGCTTTGTTTGTGTTAACGTCAGACCAAAAAACAAAAAATGTGGTTTACCAAAGAGCACTTCAATGAAACGGATAATTTGCGGATTCACTTTCATTTACTTAGAGAAGTTCAACTAAAAAACACTTCATTTTTGTAATCGAGTCTTTGTTTAGACTAAATGCTAATAAATGCATGATATTTTCCACCAATAGTCCTTCAATAAAACAATGATTTCGTTTACACATGTTGACTTTTGAATAAGCATTGCTCAAGCTTTTGCTTCGAGCGCGCAAGCTTACTCTTTTTTAGAGAGGTACCGAGTTTTTTTATGCTAAATACTTGTGGTCATCGCGATATTTATAACTGATCATGGTTTGTAGAGCTTTTTTACTTAAGAAATTTATTTCAATGTTTCTATGTTTTTAGAAATAGAAACATATCAGAGACCCACCCAAAGCCAATAGGTGAAGACATCCTACTGCAAGACAATAAAAGACTGAGAAGATACATCACGCTTTCACTGATTAGTTTAGCTCATAGCTTATCAATTATTATAGTATTTCTGATTGCTAAAATAAAGTAAAATTGGGAAAGAACTTAGAAGAAATGTTTTTAGCGATATAATGACTTTGTTTTCACACCCTCACAAAACCAATGCCAACGTCGTACCGCCACATACCAATCAATTTACGATCTTCTTCCTCTAATAATGCTAAGATTCAGATTGCGCAGGTTGACCCTTGAGTATGCATTGTCTCGGGCTCTTCCTTCATCATCTCGGTCTCTGCCGGTGAGATACCGCGGGGAATATATCGCAGAATTTAACCGATTACGTGCTCCGGAATAATGCGAAACGTCTACGGGCGCGACTGATATCGACACAAGTCGCCATATATTCAAGACCATCTGACATAAGATAGGTTACGAGCAGTGGCGACTCTTCGATGATTTTTATGGAAAGAATGATATAACGCAAATATAATGGCCATAATTTTTATGAAAATATGAATATAGGCCCGACCTGCCAATATCAATATTTTTGATTGCATCATATTAAACTGCAGTATTTATTAATAATATAAAATTTTAACATTTTATCTGTGGCCATTATAATTTCAAACACAACTTTTGATAATTATGCACAACTGTATAAGGGATCGTTCAAGTATTACGTAAGCAGATAATTACAATTATTTACCCCTCCCCCCTCTCCTTTGTCAGCAAAAGTAAGCAAAGTTCTTACCGAAAATAAGCAAAATAAGCAAATCAATAACCCCCCCGCCCCCCTATAGTGCTTACGTAATACTTGAACGACCCCTAATGGTAATAATTGCATAAACAAAATCTGCCGTATATAAAACTAGCGGTGCATCGCATCGTCCCTTAAGGCAAATTGGTGGAGCATCCCGCAGCAAAAACTTGAAATTTTCTTTAAAGCAATAACTCATCATAGCCGTTTTAAACACAATGTCGAACACTTGTACTTATTATTGAAATCTCTATAAAATATCAGACAACTTGATATGCATATGTCTAATGATCATTTTTGACTGCCAAATGGCACTTTAGTACTTTTTTCATTGTATTTCCGAAACCGATACACATGCCAAATTTTATGAGATGGTCATTTCGTCATCAGAAGTAAATTATTTTTTGTATCATGCAAAAAATTAATCAGCATGTCTTCCCGTCAATAGGAATCGAATGTTTTTTAAATCGTTCAAAATGTTTGAATCGTGTTCTCAAAATCGTCGACGAAAAATTGTAGCTGCTTCGTAGCACGCACATAAACACAAACACGCACATACACACACACATACATCTATTTTTCCTAAGATATGCCAAAATGTGCAGAAGGACTTGAATCAAAAAATATTTTCTAATTCGTTCTAAAAAATAGTTAATAATTCGTTTTATTTATCGAAATTGTTTTTGTCGTTTTGAGCTTACTAAACTTCTAGGATTGGATTATGAATTATATATATACCCAAAAATATAATTTGTATGATGAAAAATCATTCGGTTCGGAGTCGATCGCGAGGCGTTTTTGCAAAAGGCACATCTTGCAGTTCCGGAAGTATGGAGCGCAAAGAGTGAGAAAACGGTTATGCAGTTTTTGAGAGAACTGATTATCCGATTAAATTAATTCAAAGAACATTTTGCTTGAGTAGACGGTGTGCAAAAAATACTTTTACAAAAAATTTCGTAATTTTGAAAATTTTCAAAAAAAAATTCAAAAGTTTCAAAGTTTCAAAGTTTCAAATTCAATTCATCTTATTCTGATCTTCTTTAATTTTAACCTTTTTCTTATTTTGTTCTTACTACTAATTTTATTCAAATTCACAATTCAACAATTCTAATTATCATTAGGTTATATTTACTCTCAAATTAATTGTTTTTAAATTCTACTTTACTTCTATTACTATGCAATTTCTAATCGACAATTCAATTTCTATTGACCATTTGCACATTTTTTTATGTAAATGCCAAGAATCGGTCCAAAGACAGTTGGCATCGTAGTTAATACGAGTACCACATGTTCGTCTTCTGGAGAAGAAATATTGGCAAAAATTTTAGTGCACCAGTTCCTTTGGAAATCACTCTGCTGTGGAAACAAATACGCCATTTGTCTGTCTATAAATTATAGTATACCGTTCAATTCCCCCTTAGATGTGATACTAATTAGAAATGGGTAAAACAATCATTACGTACCTCCTAATGTACAAATCGAAGTCAAATTTTAAAAAAGGTGTTATTTTACATCACATCATTTTACAATATTACTTTAAAAATGAAGGGAAGTTAATTGAATCTAGAATTCAATTTTTACAACATGATTAGGTTTGTTTTTAACGTGATGCCGATTTAATCCTCTATCCCCGCCGCCACTGGCTTCAAAGTTTTATTTTCTTTAATATTATCCTCGTGCATTTATTATTATCAACGGTTGTTATTAGTGCGGACCGCGTGCTAATACGTCGTTACGTGGGTGAGAAGTTATTTTTTATTCGCGTGTTATGTTCTGTTTTTTTTTTGGAATTCGCAGACTAACGCGGTAAAAATATCTTGAGAGCTCAACGAGCCCGTATGATGATATGTAATGTCATCGAATTATTTATGCGCATCCTTTATTGGAAATAGCTCTGTAGGGGTATCATAAGTCATTACAAATTTTGCGAGCGTTATGCGAACGCGGATCGATTATGTGAATTCACATCGAGAGCTGTATTGCGGAAAAGAACAATTTCGTTATTTTATTTATGGTTTAGTAGGTTTATAAGGTCGGAGATATAATGCTGTATTTGATAATAATAATGGACAAATCGACATAATATATTCTATTTCTATCCTTGTTTGGCTGGGACCGTGTCAGATTTCCATCTTGTGTCAAGGGTTTTTATAAAAGCAATATTTGTCCCGAATTTAGATCTTTTGTTCTGGATCGTCCTGGTTTTTAGAAAGGTATATGCTTAAATTGAATCTTTGCAATTACTTGATAATAAAATTATGTACAATTATTCGTTAAATTAAGGTGGCCATACGTCCCGGATTGGCCGGGACAGTCCCGATTTTAAGCCTTGCGTCCCGTTTTTTTTTAAAAGCAATATTTGTCCCGGTTTTAGGTGTTTTGTCCCGGATTGTCCCGGATTTTTAAAAACGTTTTAATTGCCAATATATTTTTAAATATATTTCAACCCAAAAAATGTGCATATAAGTTTTTAGCTCACCAACACCCTTGACCCCCCTCCACCCCGCTTTCACACACATTCTAATCCGTTACGGATTTCATGCAAAAAATATGGTCACCTTAGTTAAATACCTAATAATGATATATTATGTTACAAGACCATGAATGAGAAAATTTTGTACGTAAAATATCATAGGTCAGTTAAAATAGCCCTAATAATTTCGAACTTTTATTTTAAATTTTACAAACTCTTTGACTACCTGCAAAAAGTGCATTTTTTTTTTTCAAGTAAATTAAAATTTCATACAAGGCTCAAAAGCGAGCAATTTACTAGTATCACATATTGGAACCAGAACTACTGATCAATTCACATTAAAACTAGTTATAAGCAACATATTGCCTTAAGACAATTTGCATGAACTTCCTGATAGTTATACATAATCAAATTGAATAATAATTGAGACACAGCTATTTAGGAAAAATGTCCAACTATTTATTTCGAAAATAAAATTTTCGCTTTCACTAGAAAATAATCAATACGATTACCAATAGATGTATACATGTTCATACTTATATGTAATTGTATAAAAGAAATTAATTTATTTAGAACATTTTATTTCTGAAGCGGTATTTTATTTAGGTATGTGATATTTCACGAACTGGTTGCAATTTGTAGTCCCGATAATCGGGAAGGTGTGTAACTGAAGGCTGAATAAACGAGTTTTTACTATATTTTACTATATAAGGACACAATAACTATTATTGGTTTTATCTAGTCCAGAAAATGGGAGTTCAAATGCTTCATGATGGTGAAGCCTTTAAGGCGCACCATCCCGGTCACGCTCTCAAATTCTTCGTCACAGTCGATGTAGGCAGGGTCTTCCGGGTCTTGGAGTTTTCTTTCCTTGATTTGAATCCATATTAATTTGACTACGTTGTACCGTGTCTCGGGTTCATTACTACCAATTAATTTGGCTAATTCGGGGGATAGTCTATACCTCTTATGAATCCCAGAATTTCTAGGTGCACGCTTCTGCAAAAATAACAATAATATAAATAATAACTAGCTGTAAGTGGAATTCTGTCTTAAGGCAATTAGGGCATCGTGCCTTAAGGCAAATTGCTGGAACTTCCCGTACCGATAATTATTATTTTTTTTTAAAACGATTAACATTTTTTAAAAAAAATTACTTTGAAAAAAAAAGATTTTTGAGAAACTATAAATTGGAAAAAAATTAGTTTTTTTTTTTGAAAAAAAAAAAAAATTTTTAAAAAAATTTTTTTTTTTAAATTTTTTTTTTTTTGAAAAAAATTTTTTTTTTTTATTTTGACATATTGTGGAAGATCTGAACTTTTTTTTCAAAGCAATCGTACTGCTTTAACTACATAGGGACAAAATATAAAGCGCGTAAGCGCCGCGTCGCTGTCTAACGCATAAGCATTGGTACGGAACCGATAGGAATGTTAACAAAATGTATACTTATTGTTAAAATCTCTATAAAATGTCTGATAATTTGATGTGCATATGTCTAATGATCATTTTTGGCCGCCAAATGGCTCATTTTTTTACTTTTTCCTCTATATCTCCGAAACCGCTAGACCTACCTTTATGAAAATTTTATAGATTCTTCATCTTGTCAATACAAGTGAAATGTTTTTTGAATTATTAAAATCGGACGCTCCGTTCTCTTAAAAACTGAGTTACCGTTTTTGGAACTTTTTGCCCCGTATCTTCGGAACGGCTTGACCTGCCTTTGCCAAAAACTAATCAGCACGTCTCCTTATCAATACGGATCGAATGTTTTTTGAATTATTCAAATCGGTTGATCCGTGTTCCCGAAATCGTCGACGAAAATTTGTATCCGCACATACATACACACACATACATACATACACACACACATACACACACAAACCACACACACACACACACATACATCCATTTTTTCTAAGGTATGCCAAAATGTTCAGAAACCTCTGAAACGTAAAGATATATAAAAATTTTCATTTTCGATTTTTTTGCGATTACTATAACTTGCCCTACGGGAAGTTAATAATATGAATTATAATACATATATATATATATATATATATATATTATATATTATATTATATATATGTAGTATGAAACCCGATTTTGTTATGAATTTTCCATATTACTTACTTATTACTTTTCAATGCTTCTATAAAGACTATTTTTACTAAAAAATTTTTGCTATCTATAACTTCAAGTTAAAACCTTGTAAGTAGTAACTGAAATCTATATTTATTTTCAATATATTTCATTGATTTCATTTTAAATTACGAAGTCTTTGAAATGCCTACCATACTACATTCATATATTTGATTTTATGATGTAGTTTTAGTTGTATTGATACATCTTTTTTTATTAGTATATATTAATTTATTTCAATACTTTTTTTCGCCTCATTATCAGAACTTCTGACAGGGTAGTCGAACTGTTTGTTCTGGATTTGCTTCCCTTCGCGCATGCCTCCTCGACCCCATGGTGCGTTTCAATTACTATAATTTCCAATTATCATAACTCGAACTGAAAATTTGAAATAATGCGAAATTTTATTATTTTAAATTAATTTTAATAAATGTTTAATCATATAACTAGTGTTTTATAACAAAACAATGTAAGAGCAAAATTACATTAGGAGACAATATCGGATAAATTTACAAATATATTAGAAAATCTTATAACTTAAAACGCATATAATTAAAAAATATACCATATCAGGTTGTAATAAAGAAACTCAAATCCACCAATATATTAACTAAATTATATCATAAGACAAATTAAATGACAATGCAATATTATATGTCGTATACAAATAATTAAAATCAAATATATAATAATAATAATATAGACAAATATACATAAATAATTTTTCAATATAAAAACAATTTTGTAGCAGATATGTGACATTTGTCATTGGCATTCATAAATTGAACATTTAAAAAAAAAATTGAAAAATCAAAATTAAATTACAAAAACAAATTAGGTAATAATCAACATATGTTTTAATAATTCATTTTACTTACATTTTTATTGTTTCTTGCTCTTACTGAAGTTTATTAAAAAATAAAATTTAAAAACAGTTTTCACCAAAATTTTATATAGTGCATTGTTATTGTGCTCGCAGCATACTACTATAATTTAAATTTTAAACAAGAAAAAAATTATAATCAAAGTGTTTAGTACGTCATGGAAACGACTGAATTATGAAATCAGTGAGCCAAATCTTTTTGGGAAAATTGTCAAACGACTTCAAAAAGTTATAAAACTACGATTGCTAATTTACTTATGCACAACAATGGCCGAAATGAGTGAAGGCAAATAATAGACATAAGTAGTGTAAATATTTCGAAATTTTTAAATAAACTTAACATTTTTTGAAAAATTTTAATTTTCTTTAACGTTC